GTATTGGTAAAACTACTAGGCTTTGGTGTATGTTGTGAGTGATATTACGGGAAACTTCCATATCTTAAATAGCAAAGATCATGTCAATATAGTATTCATTTTGTATTATGTTTCACCTTTCTTTATTAAAATGAAGCTTATTACCTTATTGTTTCCAAATTAAACATCTTGTATCCTGAACATGAATGAGAAATAGTTCACCAGTTAGAATAGATGAAAAGAATCCCTTTTCGATGAACAATCTAGCCTAGGCATGTGAGAATAAAGCGCACAATAGAAAAAATAATGATTCTAAAAAAAGGCCAAAAGTATCATAGAGCACTTATTCGCCGAGCATCTTCAAAGATAATGTCTAAAATTTTTGAAAATAAGATATCACGGAAAAATGTGTCACTCATCTCCGTATGTCTGTCGGTTTGCTAATCCTTGACCCATCTATAACTTGGAAAGTACTTCTCGCAGTTAAATGCATTCATATAAGGTAACTACTATGCCAAGGACTTTGTAGGTTTTAAAAACCGGTCCAGTGGTGGCGAAAAATCGGTCAAGCTTCATTTTTGGCACTTCGGAGGCTTCTGATTATTTTAAGAAAAACTTTTGCAGAGGTAAAAAGTTGGGTTTTGGGTGTTTTTAGGTGTTGGGGTAGGCGCCTCTTGGACTGACTTGATCCGTTTCATTTCTCTGTTATACATGCTTGTAGTTGACTCTTCCTTTAGCGGGGCAAACACAATCCTTTATGAACCTACTATACTACAACTATTTAAAACTGTAATGACTCATACGCGTGATCAACACGGGATCAGAGCTCGATCCCGGCTTCCTTCCAGTACAGCCGTATAGCGTACGACATATGTCGTTTCTGTGGCTTTGCGGTGGTCAGCAGCACAGACAGAAATGGAAATAATGGCTGATTGTTCTCCGCCGGTAGAACCAATGAAATCAAAGACGCGCCTCGACCGGCAGACTCATAGGCGCCGGCGTTCGCATTGGAACGTGTTTCGTTGAGCGATCGCATATTGTGTGTTTTTATAAGAATTGTTGTGTGATTGTTATTGTTGTGGTTTCTGTGGTTACTGTTTTGGTTATACTTAACCATGGAGAGTACAAATGGCACGAGTGGAAGTACTGAAAGCCAGGGAACAAGTAGATGGCTTCGTAAAGCACTGAAGAGGGACGCGAAAGAAATCGTGCTCAACATGTTCAATTATCTGAACAGAACTATGTCGTAGGGAGTTGCACTCGCGCGTTGTGAAAGTATGATAGGCGTTCCAGAGTGGACCATTCGCAGGGTCGTGCATGAAAAGAAGAAAACTGGAGCTACTACTGATCCAAAGTTTAATTTGAAGGGACGAAAGGCCGTTAAATTGGATGACGATAGCAAAATGGCGTTAAGGCGAACCGTACATTTATTCCTCTTTAGGAATGAGATACCAACCCTCAAGGCTGTACATGCAGCGATCAAGGAAAATGAAATTATACCCTAAATGAGCGTCGAGGTAATGAGAAAATCCCTGCACGAAATTAATTTTCATTACGAAACGCGTAATCGGAAGTATTGATAGAGAGACGTGAAATAGTCGCCTGGCGTCGAAAATACCTACGCGAAATGATTGAATATAGGCGACAAAGCAGAAAAATCTATTATTTGGACGAGACATGGGTAAATGCAGGTCACACAGTTAAAAAAACCTGGATAAACAAAAACGTAGTGAGTAACCGACAAGCAAGCATTGAAGGTTTGTCAACAGATCTTCGTGGACCGTCAGGGAAAGGTCAAAGATTGATCGTAACTCATATTGGTAGCGGTAGTGGCTTTTTAGAAGAGTGTTACTTGATTTTCGTCTCTAAGAAAGGAGGTGATTACCATGACGAAATGAATGCCAGCTGCTTCGAGAGCTGGTTTCAAGGGGTGTTTCAGCGAGTTGAGCCCAACTCTGTGATCGTCATGGATAATGCTTCCTACCATAGTCGTCGAGCCGAACGTGTACCGACTATGGGATCTCGAAAAAGTGACATGCAGCAATGGTTGCGCGAAAAAGGCATCCCGTTTGACGATTCATGTGTGAAAGCGGAATTGTATGAAAAAACTAAACAGCACAAACCTGCGAACATTAGTTGCGTGACTGATGAGATGGCCCGTCAATGTGGTGTCACTGTGCTGCGGTTACCGCCCTACCACTGTGAACTGAACCCAATAGAGCTCATCTGGGCTCAAGTGAAGGGTTATATTGCGCGCCATAACACAACCTTCAAATTACCACACGTTAAGGTTTTACTTGAGACTTCCATACAGCTAGTAACGCCCGAAGCTTGGCAGAATGCTATCCGTCATGTTGTGAAGGAAGAAACAAAAATGTGGCAGCTTGACCACCACATCGACACCATCTGGCTCTAGCCAGTTATAGTCAATTTCAACGAGGAAAGCGATAGCGACAGTTTATTACTGTCAGATGTAAGTGGAAGCGACGATGAATAAAGGTAATTCCCAAATTTTTGACTTACAATATGTTTCAAACCACTCTTTATTAAGCATGTGACAAATCTAGTTCACCCATGTTAAACATTCATACCCCGCCTATGAACAGCCGACTACTGGTAGTTAAGTGATGTTCACGTGAACATCGATGAGTCATTACAGTTTTAGATAGTTATAGTATAGTCAACCTACTTGATGTCATTTTTAAATCGCATTTGTACAGAAATAATAAAAAAAAACATTCAGCTGCTAGCAAAAAAGCTCAGTCTTGGGTGGTTCCAACATTTACAGTTACATACCAACTAAGGATAACACTTCGTACTGTACAGTCTTTAAGACGATGTGAGTATAAAATGCTACAAAGTTATCACAGCGGTCTATTAATAATGTCTATTTACAGTCTATTATTATCAACGCAGTAATGACTAAGAACGCTGAAAGTGTTTGTTCGTAATCGTTCCTAGTCCAGACATGCACTGAACCAATGACAAATCGTACTTTATCTTTTACGCTCTACTTATCTGAACTTTACTCAACTCTTAGGCCAGGCAGAGAAGATTGCAATTTGAGATGGATGTTAACTTAATATTTTTATTTCTCAATGCAGCTAAAACACATTGGTATAGTAGATTTCGTTACAACAGGACGACGCATTTTGGCGTTCGCATTATTTTGGAAATTAGTGTGTATATGTGTCGACCACCATCTTTAGGCGTCGCCGTTGCCACTTCGCGGACTGTTGCCACAGTTTATAGGATTTCCTTCTTCGTTGTTTACAAATTCTAATAGGAAATAACCAAGGGGAATGATGAAAGGGCAATTTTCTTTAAAATTAAAATGATATCCGTTTTAATATTGCCTAGACACTAAATCAATTCCCAACGGCCAGACAATGGAGTCATATCATCATAAAACCCAGAGAATATTCTTCAGGCGTTACATTAAATTAGATGCATTCTTCTCTCGAAAATGTTTTTTTTAATCTTTTAAAGTCAACCAATACGTCACAGTCAAACAGTTTAAATTACCGTAATAGATGATTTATATTTCTGATATAAATGTCTTTCAGCTTTATTATGAGACTATAAATTGTTTCGGAAATGCGGAGTGAGGATTTTTGAATAAATTCTGAGATTAGAATCGGACCAATATCGGCAGTTATGACGATTTACTACGCCAATTAAGAAAAAGGAACATTCGTCGGAAAAGCAAGTGTTAAATAGAAAGTGTCCATCGTTTATAATTCGTTCACTCATTTCTTTACAAAATTGTAATCGCCGACCAAAATCGTCTTCATTAAGTTCTTGTACCAGCTGAATTTTATACGGATGAAAACTATGGCGTTACAAGTTATTTTAGTAACAAAGTTTGTTCAAATCAATCGCAAACTAAGTACTAAATTTCTATTTAAAATAAGTACGAGATATTGCCTTATCTTTCTTCACGAAATAACTTTTTTGCCACAAAAAAACGCTCCAATAACTAATCTGATGTACCTATTAAAGTCTACTTTAAGTTTTAAATCAATAAATCTTCAAAACTGCTGAACTAAAGCTCATGTATTTTACATCATTATAAAGGGAATTGAAAGACCTTTAAAATGAGGTATCACTCGACCCCCTTTCCATTTAAGATTTAAGGGTTGGTGTCATCCCCGCCCAAGGGACTGCACGTGTTAACGTGATTTTTTGCCAAACTTGTGTCCCCCTCGAAAACAAAATCTACTGGTCTGAGCGTTTTTCCAAGAAAACTGAGCTGCCAGTAAACGCGTCTGTTTCGTTTTAGATGCGCGACCCTGTATGTAAAGATAATAATATACCGTAACAGCATTAATGAGAAAAATAATTGATACGATGGTTGCTCGTACAATCTCTTTCAAACCGTAAGTTTTCAGGAAGTCTTTTAACTTTTTATATCGATTACAGGATGAGAGACACTTCCTCTACCATAAAACACGGTCAGTGCAGTCTAAACAGGAGGACCAAGGTAAGCAAAAACAACACTAGGCCAAGTTTTTCACAGAGGACCGCACAAGCGCCATCTATTCTATAATATCGTTAGATAAGGCTTTTCTTTACTTCCGTCAGTTATATTACCTAGAGATGAAGCCTAGACCCGAAAACAGTATTGTTACTTGGACAGGGCAGGTTAGATGGCAAACATATTTTCTACTTCCGAACAGATATCCCAACTTCTTCCAAGCGGCTGCCCCAAATACCTGCCAAATCATGTCTCCAGCCGAAACGAATCGCTTAACTGCTTAACAATCTCGTTTTTTTTCAAAAATTGGTAAAAAAAATCTAGTTTTTTTATTTTCTTATTTTGAACTAAATCGAAAGTTATTTTATTTTCTAGAGTTAAAAATTAAATAAAACCCTGAATTTTTGTGAAAAAAGTTACATCTATTTTTATACATGTGCTTACCCTCGGGCAACAAAAAAAAATATTTATTTGGGGAACAAACCTAAGGTAACACATCTAAAACTTAAAAATTATATGTAAGTGAGTAAAAAAAAACATTTTTCTAAATATTTGCAACTGTGTGGTAAATCCTAAAACATGGAGTCACACACAAGGGGGTTTCGCAATCTGCACAGTAATATTTGTTTTCTCTTCTAATTTTCTTTCCGCGTTCATCTCGAGCCCTGCTGCAAATTCCACATTGCCTGGTTGGATTTGTCTTTTTCTCAGTAGCTGGAATAACATCTGGAAAATGTCGTCCTATTAGACGAAGCGGAGTGAGCTGGGTTGAAGGTCGTCCTGTTCTTGGAGTAAACTCAGTTTGATGATATTTTTCCATTATTTGCTTTATAAGCTCCAATCGGTATACAAGTGCTGATTTTGTTCCGCCCGTTTTTACATATATTATAAAAGAGTTCCATAGGGCTAAATAAAAAAGGTGGAAAAATATTTTTTTATAATATTTTTTACCTCTTTTTCTTGGTAAGGTATAGTCAGCCAAGTGCTGGTCCACTCGGTCCACTCCACCCATGGTATCGTTATAGTCCACAACCAATAATATATTGGATTCAGCCAAGTCTACCTTTGTATAATAAAAGACTTTCGTCAATTGCCACATGTTTCTCTGGAGTAACTGTAGCTCGAAATTTATTCACTAACTTGTCGTATATCGGCCATATCTTATTTACCTTTGGGTTTGGGTGGTGCTCAGCGTCAAAGGTCTCGTTATCAGCAAAATGTAGATTTGACCTGATTGCTTCAAATCTTTTATTGCTCAGGCATTTTGCAAAAAAAGGCGTCAGTAATAAAGGATTTTTAGACCAATATTGCCTCATTTCAGGTTTTTTTATGATACTCTGAAGAATTATAAGCCCCAAAAATACTCTCATTTCACCAGCAGTTACCGGGAACCATTTTTTGAATTTCTTTTGAATCGCATAATGATTGGTTTCAGGAACAATGTGATCGATTATCTAAGCATCAAAAAATTGTTCAAAAAATTGCAGTAAATTGTCCTCATCATTCGAGCGAAAATGAACACTAGGTCTGGCAGAAAATGGAAAAGCTGGTGGTCCCGGGGGATCAGGCCCTAACTCGCACCAATTACGCACAAGCAACACATTTTCAGAGTTACTAGAATCAGAACTCGTCGTTGAAACATCCAAAATTGCACCTGACCCACTATCATCGACGACACCTTCGATATCAACCCCATCGAAATTTTCATCACTGTCGCTCTCGATCGTTCAGCGTACAATAAAACAAAACATAAAATGTGCGGCAATCAATCCCCTATTACAACCAAATACTAACTAACTACTAAATAACGCGGCGATGCGCGTAACCAGCAATGTTCGAGAGCCGTTTCGAAATGGTACTCACGCCCACGCCCTAATCACTTGCCACGTTTTTAAGCAAATCACCTCTATCTAAACATCTGATTGCCTCAAGGCTCTGTTCTATGGTAATAATAACGCGTTTACATTTATTTCTATGCTGCTGCATCTTTGCGATTATGAACCTGACTGAAACAAACATACACGCACACATACCAGTGAATTCCGCAAACGCGTTTGGGGAATCACCGGCAGCGAATCTAATGACGCAAACGCCGAAAGTACTCTTCAATAGATTTCAGTTGTGAACCTCTACATGTTTGTATCACATTTATTATAGATCAAGAACCAAGATAAGGAAGTTAAATTAGAAATACAATTACAGGATCAGTGAGAATTACATTAAGCCACACATTTCTTTACTTAGTTATTGGACAGCTGTAACTATTTTATGTCTAGAGCCATATAGTCTATGTGTTAATGATATCAATCATATAATAACAGTAGAAAACGAAATGATCGCGGATGACCTAAAAGTTTACTCAGTAATTCATGGACAAGTCTGCATAGGTCTGTTGCAGGAAAATTTAGACAGCATTCTTGATGACTGGTGCCTGAGTAATGGTATGATGTTTAATCCCAGCAAGTATAAAGTAATATCCATTATCAGGAAACGGTCTACTGGACAATCATAAAGTTGGCAGAGTACAGCATTTATGTTCAATTTGTTGTATTCTATTGTGTATGATAATAAAAGGCTTAGGCATTACTATTACTTCAGATCTATCATTTTCAGCACACTTGGATCAAATAGGTAAATCAGCTTCACGTATACTGGGATTCATTACTAGAAATTGCAGGTCTTTTTTAGTTAGAAGTTCGCTTCAATATGGTTGTGTCATCTGGTCTCCTTAAATAATAACGGTAATAAAACGTCTTTATTGGTAAGTTTAGCATAAGCTATTCTACCACTTAACCCGTAAAATGTCTAGCTACAAAATAAACAATAAAAACAATATGTACCACGAAAAATGCAGAGGTTCCAACATAAAAATGAATTAAATGAGTAAAGTAAATCAAGATCAGATAAAAGTATAACATCTTGCATACTTAAAGAATGATGCTATTGCATATGTTATAAGCAGAAGTCAGAGACAAATTTATGTCAATGGTTGCTCGAAAATGATTTACTTAAAATAGTTTTTAAAATTTTCGAAATTTAAAGCTTCAATATCAGACGGTAAAACATTGTACCTGATAGTAGCTTATAAGTAAAACATTTAGTAAGTTTTGTGAGGAGGCACTGCTGTTGTATTAATAAAGCGAATATCTCGTTAGTTAGTAGTTAGTAGTTAGAAAGTCGTTGCTAATCTATCTCTCTCTCGCGTTCAACTGCATCAGGCTTTGAATGCCTAATTTGCCTGGAGTATCACTCTTCAGGATAATAAAAACAAGCGCTCGCTCTTGTTGAAAATAAACTGAATGTTAGAAGCGTGGTAATGTTCGAGAGCCGTTGCGAAATCTAAAGATTCGAAGGATTGTTTTCCGATGATTATGTTTCGTGTTTTATATTTACGAAGTGTCAAGCGGCAATCAAGAATTTCAAGGAGATGAGTTCAAGATGTTGTTTCTGCTTGAAATTTTTCTGTGAGATGTTGCAAAGCTACTGCCAAGTATTTGAACGAGGTTGTCGGTAGCGTGATTATGTTCACATGATGTACAAAATTTCAGATTTACAAAGTAAACACCTGTCAAAGATGTCTGCAGTAAAATTATCATCTATCATCGAGTTCCTTGTTTCGTCCCAGCCCGGTATATTGAAAATGTATCGTTTGGTACGAGATTTTCTGAACAAAGAAACATATTAGATATCATTCATGATACTTGCGTTCGTGTTTGAGATGAAACAGCAAATGTTTTTGCTATTTGAGATGCAGTTTCACATAATATGAAAATATACTAAGTGACATATAAATCCGAACACCCAGTTTAAATGGTTTTATTTTAATAAAATTTTGTATAAGTATTTAATGAAGCATAATAAGTAAATGATAAAAATTTCAAAATGATTGCACTGCTTTAAAGCCCTTTGACCTTTAATAATGTGTGGATGCACCCTGATGTGCTACGCATTCTCCAACGCGCCTAGGTATGCTTCTGATCAGGTGGTCAATGTCCTCCTGTGGTATCTCATTCCAGGCAACCACCAACTCCTCTCGAAGTGCTTCTAGAGTCTGAGGAGGACGTTGCAAATTGTGCAATCTCCTATCCATCATATCCCACACATGCTCAATTGGGGATAAGTCAGAAGATCTTGGTGGCCATGGTAACAATGTGACATCATTATGTTGAAAGAAGTCTATTGTGACTCTTGCAACATGTGGTCGGGCATTATCTTGTTGGAAAGTTGGATCTGCCAGGGTATCAAGATAGGGTAAAAGATGGGGTTCTAGAACTTCGTGGATATAACGCTGGGCGGTCATGTTACCTCTGATGAAGATTAAAGGTGACCTGGAACCATAAGCTATAGCATCCCAACCATAACTCCAACAGTGTGATTAACATGTCTTTCAACAAAAAACTGTGGATTCCTCCTTTCACCACGTCGCCTTCTAACCCTGGCACGACCATCGTGCATGCCTAAATAAAATCGAGACTCGTCACTAAAGACAATACTGTTCCATTCCTGATCCCAGAGTGACCATTGTCTGCATCACTCAAGGCGATTTCGTCGGTGTTCTCGAGTTAAAGGGAGGACCCAGTGTGGCCGGTATGAAAACAAGCCAAAACTTCTCATTCGTCGGTAAACACTTCGCATGCCAATAGGTCTTCCGTGTTCTGCAAACCATTCATTTGCAATGGACCTGGTAGTGGATAAACGGTCCCTTAAGGTAAATAATCTTAGGCGGCGATCTTCACGGTCTGTTGTTCTACGGCGGCGTCCAGTGCCCCTTTCTCTTTGCGTACGGCCTTCTCGAAGCCATGCCTGACAACACCTAACCACAGTGTCTACTCTTCTTTGCACTCTAACTGCAATTTCCCAAAAAGAAAGTCCAGCTTCCCGAAGTGCCACTATACGACCCCTATGAAACTCACTAAGTTGACGAAATCGTACAGGTCTCCGTACTCTAGGCATCGTAACCGATCCTAAAGGATGTCAAGAACCAAAATCCGCCAACGTTGATTCTTTACTGCGGCTGAAATATTCATTTTTAGAGCGTTAGTGAATTAAAAAAAAGCAGCAACAACATACGGTTATTCTTAAAGAAACGCAAACATATGATTTCTTATAAACTATGCGGTGAATTTAACGATCAAAAATTCAGTCACGACTAACTAGGTATTTTTTCCGATTTCCTAGACTTTTAGAAATTAATATTAATACAGGTAATATCGACATAAATATTTATAGAGGAAACAATGTTTTACCCAAGATGACCACACATAAACTATATATAGCAGCAGTGTTTTACAATATATAATCGGTTAGCTTGTGGACGCAATTAGTTTTTTGTCATGATCTACCTCAGAAAAACCGTAGTTTAAAGGTGGCCAAAATTATTGAATTTACAACTGATAATCATTTCAAACGTTATGACTTCTCCTGAGTTAATTTTTATGACTAATACTGAATCCTAATATTGAGAAATTGCAAAAAATTAAAAAAAAAATCATTTCCCTTGCAAAATAGCCAATTGAAAATACTGATTGCCATGTGATATATTCCAAATTTAGGAAAAAATATCTAAATTCTTATGGAATACTTGAAGTGATTATTTTATAAATAGTAATTTACGTAACAATTAAATTAAACATTTGAACTGCGTTTAGATGACTCTATTTTTGGAAGATATGTTGAAATTTCGTTGTTCTATGCACTAACGAGATATTATACAGGGTGGCCCATAAGTCCTTTGAGCTGGAAAAAAAGGAATAAAACCAAACTAGTTACATTATGAAGAATTATTATATTTTGTTATCATCTTTATTGAATGGGCATTATGTTTTAAAAATCACATCGTCTAAATGCAATTCATTACGATCACGGCACTCATATAAACGACGTCTAAAATTGTCGATGACTGCGCGGCAAGTCAACACTGCAATGCTTGCCATTTCTCTTCGGATATTTTCTTTCAGGACATCAACTGATCGCGGAGTGGTGTCGTACACTTTACTCTTGAGGTAGCCCCATAAAAAGAAGTCCATTGGGGTCAAATCTGGACTACGTGGTGGCCAGGAAATGTCTCCTCTTCGAGAAATTACTTTGCTGGGAAAAAGTTGACTGACGACGGGCATAGAAGTGTTGGAGGTGTGGGCAGTTGCTCCGTCCTGTTGAAACCAGGTCTGCGTATTATAGCCTGGAAAATTCTGCAACGCTGGTGTCGAAAACTCTTCCATCATTGCTACATACCGCTCCGAAGTAACAGTTAATGCGCGACCTCTGTCGTCCTCAAAAAAATAAGGGCCTACGATGCCATGCGCTGACATAGCAGCCCAAACTGTAACTTTAGGGCTGTGTAAGAGCTTCTGATGCTTACGCCTTGGATTTTCGGGGCTCCAATAACGGCAATTTTGTTTATATACATGCCCGTTTAAATGGAAGTGAGCCTCGTCCGAGAACAACACATTATTGAGCGAAGAAAATCGATT